CAAGGTTCCTGGAGACCCTTAGCCCTGGATAGGTCAGAGTGGGGAATCCGACCACGCCCGGGGAAGGGAGTTAAGGGAGGTTGGTAGAGGGAAAAGGGGGCCTTGGAAGTATGTGGGTCTCTATGGACATAGAAAAATTATGTTAATTTTCTAGTTTCTAGGAATTTTACAGAAATGTTCTATGTCTGAATTCAGGTTAGGGTAGATCTGAAGTTCAGTGGACCATACTCACTGTCACCCAAATTATTTTCAATTTCTACATGTCTATGCGGAAAATGTACAGAAAAGTTCTGTCCACATAGGAAAATGACAAAATTGTTCTACTATACAGAACTTTTACAGAAATGTTCTATGTCTCAGTTAGGGTTAGGGTTAGGGCTATGTCTGAATTAGGGATAGGATCTGAAGTGCAGTGGAACATACTCACTGTTACCCAAGTTTCAAATTATTTTAAAGTTCTACATGTCTATGTGGAAAATTTACAGAAAAGTTCTGTCCACATAGGAAAATGACAAAATTGTTCTACTATACAGAACTTTTACAGAAATGTTCTATGTCTGAATTAAGGTTAGGGTTGATCTGAAGTTCAATGGACCATACTCACTGTTAGCCAAATTATGTTCAAGTTCTACATGTCTATGTGGAAAATGTACAGAATAGTTCTGTCGGCATGGAAAATTTACAAAATTGTTCTACTATACAGAACATTTACAGAAATGTTCTATGTCTGAATTCAGGTTAGGGTTATATACTGTAGATCTGAAGTTCGGTGGACCATACTCACTGTTACCCAAATTATTTTCAAGTTCTACATGTCTATGTGGAAAATGTACAGAAAAGTTCTGTCGGCATGGAAAATTTACAAAATTGTTCTACTATACAGAACATTCACAGAAATGTTCTATGTCTGAATTCAGGTTAGGGTTACATACTGAAGATCTGAAGTGGGGCATACATCACTGTTACCCGAGTTTCAAATTAATTTAAAGTTCTACATGTCCATGTAGAAAATTTACAGAAATGTGCTATGTCTCAGTTAGGGTTAGGGTTAGGGTTATGTCTGAATTAGGGATAGGATCTGAAGTGCAGTGGAACATACTCACTGTTACCCAAGTTTCAAATTATTTTAAAGTTCTACATGTCTATGTGGAAAATTTACAGAAAAGATCTGTCGACATAGGAAAATGACAAAATTGTTCTACTATACAGAATATTTACAGAAATGTTCTATGTCTGAATTCAGGTTAGGGTAATAAACACGTTTTTAAGTAAAATTCTGCAAATTTACTACTTTTTTATCAATTATGTGGAAAATGTGGAAAATGTGCCCCCTGGTGGCAGAAAAGTGGTACTACAACTGGTCTTAATGAACATAGAAAATATACGTAATTTTAATATTTTGAACATAGCAATATGATGTAATTTTCATCATAAATTACAAGATTTTTAGTCTTGGCCAACGCTTGGCCAGAACCGTTTTCTCCTGAATACGTAACCGCGAGTAATATTTACGTAAAAAAAATTCGAGATTACAAAAAAAAAATTATGGAATATGTAAGTCCATAGAGGGGACTTGTAAAATTAGGGATAGGATACTAACCCTAACCCTAACCTAACCCTAACCCTAACCCTAACCCTAACCCAAGACTGTCTGGGAGGTGACGTATTGCATGGGACCTACCTTCCCGGGTCTTGGAGTCAGCCACCTGGCAACGGGTGGTTGGGGCACGGTTTCCGGTCCTGGTTTTCTACCTGTCGCTCGGGGAGACTAACTGGGATAGGCCCAAATTCTCAGACCTTGTCTGGCTGACCTGGGCAACCTAGCGGTGTTAACGAAGGGTCAGTTGGGCAAGGGGTAAGTATTCAGCCTCTCTGGGTCCACTAGGACAGCACGCAGGGAAGGTGGTCTGGGGCAAACAGATCTTAAATGAGCGCCCAGTCTTCTATCAGCACACACACCACAGTTAACAATAAAAAATCCAACTTTGTAAAAAGCAAAAAAGGCTAAAAATAGCGTTCTTAAAAATACAACAGCATTTATCTAAAAAAAAGAACACTGCATTAGCTTTTATACAATATAATACTTTAAAAATAAATAACTGATTTGGGCATGGGACACAAGCCTGGGCTTGATCAACCTATGGCTGGCCGCCTCAGATGAGGGTGTATAGTGTTTAAAGGCCGAAACACCTGATGACTCTGGGGTACACTACTGATGATGTGTCCTAAAATTCCTAAAATTCATTAATCTACTCTACCACACCTGTTCGTTCTCTGACTTGCGGTCGTGGGAAGGAGAATGAATAGGTGAAAAACATAGGCCAAGCCAGGTCTTGAGGGTGCCCTGCTCAGTCTAGTGGCACATCCCTCTCTTCACCTCTTTGTTCTTTGCCTTGCGATCCAGTTGGAAGAATCAAACATAAATACAAACCTAATGCAACTATGTCAACTTGCAACAATTTTCCAATAAATTAATAAATAAAAGGAAATTTACTCCTGGACAGAGGGACTGGAAGGCTCGATGGCATTGCTTAACAAGCGGCGGCCCGTGCATTACCCTTGATCTTCCTAGCTATCCGTTAGCAGCTGGCTTGTGTCCCTGTGGTACCTAGAGACCGGGTCCTGGTTTTCTACCCATTGCTCGGAGAGATTAACTGGGATAGGCCCCAAGATGAGACCAATTCTCTAGGGCAACCTAGCGGTGTTAACAAACGGTCATTTGGGCAGGGGGTAAGTATTCAGCCTCTCTGGGTCCACTAGGACAGCACACAGGGAAGGTGGTCTGGGGCAAACAGATCTTAAATGAACACCCAGTCGTCTATCAGCACACACCACACCACAGTTTACAATTATATATATATATATATGTATATATATATATATATATATATATATATATATATATATATACATATAAACAAAACAAAAATGCATTAGCTTTTACACAATATAATACCTTAAAGATAAATAACTGAATTGGGCACGGGACACAAGCCTGGGCTTGATCAACCTCAGATAAGGGTATATAGCGTTTAAAGGCCAAAACAGCCGATGACTCTGAGGTACACTACTGATGATGTGTCATTGTACGTTCCCCTAACCCTAACCCTAAGCTTAATTCTGCACCTAACCCTTGATGTGAACCCCAAAACCTAATCCTAAACCTAAAATCAACCATACACCTAAAAACCTAATCTTAAAATTTTACCTTAATCCTAATCCTAAACCTTAAACTTAACCTTAAACCTAACCCTAAAAACTTAATCCTAATCCCTAAATTAATCCTAAACCTAAACTCACACCTAAAACTTAACTTCACCAACCTAACCCCTAAACACAACCTCAACCCTCTGACACATTTAACCTCTACACCTCATCCTAACCCTAACCCTCAACCCAACCCTTTATTACAGCTGCCCAAAATCCAGCCCCCAAACTTAACCCCTAAACACAACCCCCTGCACACGAATCCAACCCCCATGCCCTTTGCACTCATCTGACTTTCTCTTAATGGACGACTATTACCCAACTGTCCTGTAGTGGATGAATCTTTGTTAATTGCATCACATATGATGCACGTTAGCCAGATTTCAACCAAACTCTCCCTCTGTCCCTTATTGGTGCTGTAGCTCCTCCAAACTCCACCTGGTCGAGCGGGAAGCTGCGACAGATGATTCTGAGTCATCAGCTTTGCATTTCAACCTGCTTCATTTAATGGCTTAAGGTCCTATATTACCAAAATGTCCTGCTGGGTAAACGTGGTACCTCTGTAGCTGGATTAACTAGTCAGCTGCTCCCTCAGGCTGGAGTTGAGCTTTCAAAGTGGCGGTCTTGGTTTTAGTTTTTAAATGGTTTTAATGGTCCTTCTTCAGCAGGCTTGATCTCTCTGCAGTGTTTTGCTGTTGGATCTGTTCTGTTTGATTGGTAAATCTTTTAAATTTAACATGGCTTTGTTTTTAGTGGTTTATGATCCGAGATGCTCATTATTCATTTTTACAGTGCAACATAAAAAATTAAAGTGAATTAAAATTATTTCATTATGAATTAACTCAAGTAAAAGTACTGTGATTTGCTTTTACTCTAAAAAGTGCCGTCACTGGGAAAAGTGTACTGAGCTCAGTAATGAGAGTGAATGTAGTTTGTTGTTTACACCTCTGCAGTTTTGCCCTGTTTCATTGTTTTGATACCAGTGTGTGTTTCTAAATATCTACACACAGTATCTACCATAATACACTGCTGCTGCTGCTGCTGTGTTGGTTTAATGAAAAATTGTATTGTAGCAAGAATTCATTAATATCCAGAATGCCTCATATTTCAAAACTAATAATGAAAGTAAATTTGTTCACAAAACTGACTGTTAATATATTCAATATATTGTCTCTCGTTTCATAACTTCCTATTGACTCCAATTTTCTAATTCCCTCTTGTATTAATAATTACTAATAATATGCATTAGCATAACAGGAAATCGATTTTGAAAATAACTAGTTTTCATTTTGGTAAAATAAATAACACAATATGACAAATTTAGCATAAACTGTCCGTGCATGAATGAAGTTTTACGTATTCCATGATTCTTGTCATTTATTTTGAGTGCCATTAATTCCAGAGCTGGTTCTGTATGTTTCTGTACAGTTTTCAAACTGTGGATTTTCAGATTTGCAGGATTATTACTTTTTAAGCAATAGCCCTACAGTATTTTCACTATTTTCTGCAGTGAGTTCTAGACTGAGCAGAAGTTATTTTTCTGATGTCTTCTGTGAACAGAACTCTCAGACTGTAGCTAATGAATAATTAAAGTTTATTTACCCCCAGTGATCCACTGTCCCTCAAACACCAAGTGCTCTTATTATTTCACACTGTGGAGAAGTAAATGGAGCCTCTGCTGCCCCCTGCTGGACACTCTACAGACTGTAGTGCCTTATGCTGTGCAGGATTAGGGAGGATCCCACGTGCTCTGCCGCAGAGCCCCCCTGCCCCCCCTTAGACACACACACACACACAGAGAGAGAGAAACACACGCACTCTCAGCTCACCATGCAGACATTTCTATGCTTTATTAACCCGTTTTCACACATTTAACGGCTGGTTTTGATGCTGCAGTGGAGCCTCTGTCAACACGCAGAGCTGCAGTGGATGGACTGCAGTACCAGACCTCAGCGCCTCTGAGCTGCTCCACATCGACTGCAGAATCACAGACGGAGCTCTGTCCTGCTGACAGCCTGAATAAAGCTGCAGTGCATGCAGTCTGTGTTATGATGCTCACGCTGCAGTGCCTGCTGTTTGCTGTAGTGGCAGGTAAGAACTGTGAGGGGTAAACGGGGGGGTTTCATCCTCAACAACATTTATAGATTGTGCACCTGCAGTAAAGTAGGCTAATTATAAGCTAATGCAGCAGATATAATACTGTACTAATACAACAGATACTGTACTGTACTAATACAGCAGATACTGTACTAATACAGCAGATACTGTACAGTACTAATACAGCAGATACTGTACTAATACACCAGATACTGTACTGTACTAATACAGCAGAAACTGTACCAATACAGAAGGTACTGTACTGATACAGCAGATACTGTACTGTAATAATATAGCAGATACTGTACTAATACAGCAGAAACTGGACTAATACAGCAGATACTGTACTAATACAGCAGATACTGTACTGTACTAATACAGCAGGTACTGTACTGTAATAATACAGCAGATAATGTACTAATACAGCAGATACTGTACTAATACATCAGATACTGTACTAATACAGCAGATACTGTACTGGACTAATACAGCAGATACTGTACTGTACTAATACAGCAGGTTCTGTACTAATACAGCAGGTACTGTACTGTACTAACAGCAGATACTGTACTGTAATAATACAGCAGATACTGTACTAATACAGCAGATACTGTACTGTACTAATACAGCAGAAACTGTACTGTAAATACAGCAGGTACTGTACTAATACAGCAGAAACTGTACTGTACTAATACAGCAGATACTGTACTGTACTATTACAGCAGAAACTGTACTAATACAGCAGAAACTGTACTAATACAGCAGAATCTGTACTAATACACCAGATACTGTACTGTACTAATACAGCAGAAACTGTACTAATACAGCAGAAACTGTACTGTACTAATACAGCAGATACTGTACTAATACAGCAGAAACTGTACTGTACTAACAGCAGATACTGTACTGTACTATTACAGCAGAAACTGTACTAATACAGCAGAAACTGTACTAATACAGCAGAATCTGTACTAATACACCAGATACTGTACTGTACTAATACAGCAGATACTGTACTAATACAGCAGAATCTGTACTAATACACCAGATACTGTACTGTACTAATACAGCAGAAACTGTACTAATACAGCAGAAACTGTACTAATACAGCAGAATCTGTACTAATACACCAGATACTGTACTGTACTAATACAGCAGATACTGTACTAATACATCAGATACTGTACTAATACAGCAGATACTGTACTGGACTAATACAGCAGATACTGTACTGTACTAATACAGCAGGTTCTGTACTAATACAGCAGGTACTGTACTGTACTAACAGCAGATACTGTACTGTAATAATACAGCAGATACTGTACTAATACAGCAGATACTGTACTGTACTAATACAGCAGAAACTGTACTGTAAATACAGCAGGTACTGTACTAATACAGCAGAAACTGTACTGTACTAATACAGCAGATACTGTACTGTACTATTACAGCAGAAACTGTACTAATACAGCAGAAACTGTACTAATACAGCAGAATCTGTACTAATACACCAGATACTGTACTGTACTAATACAGCAGAAACTGTACTAATACAGCAGAAACTGTACTGTACTAATACAGCAGATACTGTACTAATACAGCAGAAACTGTACTGTACTAACAGCAGATACTGTACTGTACTATTACAGCAGAAACTGTACTAATACAGCAGAAACTGTACTAATACAGCAGAATCTGTACTAATACACCAGATACTGTACTGTACTAATACAGCAGATACTGTACTAATACAGCAGAATCTGTACTAATACACCAGATACTGTACTGTACTAATACAGCAGATACTGTACTAATACAACAGAAACTGTACTCTACTAATACAGCAGACTTTGAACTGTGCTGAACTGCTCAGATTACTAATGATTTAGTGTAGTAATTGAGGTTCATTGATCTCGCTGATGTTTTTTAATGTTTTTTTGATGTGTGTGTGTGTGTGTGTGTGTGTGTGTGTGTGTGTGTGTGTGTGTGTGTTAGGCAGCAGCAGTGTGGAACACATCACACATCCCAAACGCCTACTGCAGCAGAAACACACCACTGAGGAGAAACTACACAACAGACTGGACACCAGAGCGAGAGAGAGCGGACGAGAGACAGTGAGTGAGAAGAGAGAGAGACAGAGAATGGACTTATATTGACCATTCTACTGAATTAGTTCAAACTGTGCTCCCACAGTAAAAAAAACTACTTTAAAGACAGTGAAGTGTTCAAATCTTAGATATTCATGAGGATTATGTTCTGATCTATTTAAACCCAAAACATTAATAGAGACATTATTACTATTATTATTAATAATAAAAATAATAATAATAATAATAATAATAATAATAATAATAATAATTTGTATTATTTATTTTTTTCCAGTTTTTGTTTTTAAAACAAAATTGAAGTTATAAGATTTAGATTTAGATTTAGATCATGACTTCAATTTTTAAATAAAGAAATTCATTCCAATCATGTCTGAGCTGGCCAATCAGGACCCCTCAGATCTTTATTCTTTGCGATGCCTGCGGAATCAATTGGATGAGAAACTTTGCTTTTCAGCTGTGGAAACACTGGCCTTGATATTAACAAAACAAAATAATTAGTTATCAGTAACGTGACAAACAGCCAGACATTCGCGGTAAAACACGTAACGAGGCTTTTCTATGAAAGGGTTTGACAAGAACCGCAGTCGGTGAACAGGCATCAAATCCAAACAAGACAAAATACAGAAAAGAACAAACATAACGAGGAAGTGGTCAGGCAGCCACATCCAAAAAGGGGGAAGACAAAAAGTTAGAAAATCCAAAACCACAGTCAGAACACAATAAGACAGCATAGCACACAGGAAACGCTCAGTAGCTCTACTAGGAGAAGCAACACAGCGCAAAGAACCTAGTCTAAAGCTCGAGCTTACAAACTAGACTAAGGCTGGTCACATGACACACACAGAGCAGGAGAAACAGATCTGTATGCAGAGATATTCTGGGAAATGGAGTCCTTAGGTGATTCGAAGCCGGAGGTTGTGTTAAAGTAGTGAAGGACGAGTCAAGAAGTGAAAATTCCAATCTGCATGGATTATTTTTCCAGTTCTATCGCTCATTTTTCTCTTCCTTTCATCCTCTTCATTATTCAGTCCAGCGTCGAAACTGGCTTTCATTAATTATTAATCTACACACACACACACGCACATGCACACACGCACACACACACACACACTCCTCCCTCTTCTGAAATTCTCTCCTTTCACTGCTTTTTCGTCCATCACTGCAGTCTCATGGTCTCCACATTTAGAGATGAATATTAAAATCAGAACATACAAGATCAGCAGGGTGACTTAACGATGCACAGATACACATCAATATATAATCACTGCTCTTTCTTATTGTGAATTTAATTTTAATTTAGTCATGCATTTGTTGGGCCATGCGTTTGTTCAGGCCTTTAATTAAAAGCCCTATACAGACCCCCATATTACAGACCATGTATTACACACATGCATTTACAGGTATAGGTAATCCATTTAGTTGTGCATTTGTCAGTGTTTTTTTTTCTGATTCTTTATTTACCTTTTTATTTATTTATTTATTTCTCTCTGTTCCAGCCTGTGCATTTAGCCCAGAGCAGTTTCCAAGTCGAGGCTTTTGGAAGAATTTTCATCCTAGATCTTCAACTAAACCAGTAAGTACAATCACAAAAACTGCCTCAACTGTTAAAATATACAGTACATGTGGTTAAAGCAGTGAGTATGAACAGTATGGGGTCTCTATTGTTTGTAATATAGGCTCTGTAATGTGTAGACCCTACGTAACAGAACCTATGTTACAGACCCCAAAGTGGAATCTCTGATATACACTCTGTGATTTAGGGTCTGTAAAGACCTATTAGAGCTGGATTAGTGTTAGCAGAAGGTCATCTGGTAATGTAATCTATAGAAGATTTGACTGGCCGAATCGTATGAGATAAAGGATCTGTGTAATTTACCCAAATTACCCCAAATAGCCCAGATCTAACGTCATTGTTCTTATGTTTACCTCAGCATTACATAACAGGGTTCACTGTGGGAGGCTTTCCGTGTCATGTCTGTGTGCAGTGACCCCAGTTATCAACAGCAATTCTAAATGATCCTTTATTATAGCATACAGGAGGGAATATTCACCAAATTGTGGAATTCAATAATCATCATGAATGTCCGGATTATGGAATCGGGTCAAATCAAGCTCCATTTATCTGTTAGTTTTGTCTTCAGATTGAAAAACTGCAGGAGCCGTTTTCTATTGGCTGGTTTTGTTATTGCATTACTGTGATGCTGATTTGAACAGGACCGCTGTTGCTGAGGGGCTCAGAGTTCAGCCAGTAATAGAAGCACTTCACTCTGGAGTTAATACTGATCAGACTGTAAAAACTGCAGACACTGCAGATTCATACTGGATCAAAATCACAGACCTCGTCAGTTATTACTCAGATTACAGCAGCTCCCCAGATTAAACTAATCAAGCTTAACATGAACTCTGAAATTCAGGGTAATTTACAGACCCTACATTACAAGGTCCACATTGCTGTATCTGTAAAATGAGGGTCTGTAAGTTCTGCCTCGATCTGTAATTATTAGTGAATCTGGGTCAGTAATGTGGGGGTCTATAATTAAGAGGGGTCTATATAATGTAGGATCTATAATTAAGAGTCTGTCATATTAGGTCTGTAATATGGGTGTCTGTTATTTAGCATCTATAATTAACAGTCTGTGATACTGAGTCTGCAACATGGGGGTCTGTAATTTAGGGTCTTTAATTATGAGTCTGATATTGGGTCTGTAATATGGAGGTCTGTAATTTAAGATCTATAATAGTGTGACAGTGCATCTGTAATAGGGGGGTCTGTAATTCAGGATCTATAATTAAGGGTCTTTTATGTTGGGTCTGTAATTTGGGGGTCTGTAATTTAAGTATCTGTAATTAGGTGGCTATAATTAAGCGGCTGTTATATTGGGTCTTTAATATGGGGGTGTATCATTTTGAGACTGATATTGGGTCTGTAACATGGGCGTCTGGATTTTAGGGTCTACAATTATGAGTCTGATGTTGGGTCTATAATATGGGGTTCTGTAATTTAAGTATCTCTAATTTAGGCTCTATAATTAAGAGTCTGATATTGGGTCTGTAATATGGGACTGTAATATGGGGGTCTGTAATTTAAGTGTCAGTAATTAAGGGTTAGGATTATAGATATTGGGTGTTTAATTTAAGATCTGGTTTTGTAATTGGGTTACATTATACACCTCGCATTACAGACTCTGTAACACATCTGTAATGTTCACATATCATGGTTGACTTGTTTGTTTATTTTCAGTGGTCTTTTATCTTCTGAATATGTGGAGCGTCACTTTAATGACAATGGAAAACCATCTCAGACCACGGTAAGTGTGTGTGTGTGTGTGTGTGTGTGTTGTACATTTTAGCTTTCATGAACACACACTACTCATCATTCTCTAAAACCATTAGTGACCAGTTTCCATAGCAACAGGCCTGCAGGTCTGTTTCTCAGTTGAGTTTTAGAGCTGAGAAATTTAAACTGTTCATCACAGTCCAAAGATTCATAGACACAAATGTAGCCACATTCAGATTTTAATGGCTGTGTATGTGTATCTGTGTGTGTGTGTGTGTGTGTGTGTGTGTGTGTGTGTGTATATATATATATATATATATATATATATATATAGGGTGGAGAACACTGTTATTATCACGGTTCTCTGAGGAAAACTCCAGGATCCTGGGCAGCACTTGCAACCTGTCAAGGCCTTTAGTGAGTGTCACACAAACACGTGCACACACACATTCACACTAAGCCACACACACCTGTAAACGAATCTTCAAATCTAAAACACTGATAAAAGATCTGCTCTGTAACACTCATATTATGCGGTAAGGTTTGCAGACGAAGCCAGACGTGTGCAGTCGAGGCTAGTTTTAGAGGTTTTATTTACAAAGGGGCGGTCTAAAATCAATGTCAAAAACCAGCCAAAAATCAAAGTCAAAAAACCAAAGCACAGGTCAAACACGATAAGGCAACAACAAACAAGGAAAAAGGCTCGGTATGCACAACAAATGGTGACGATAATTCGCAAACTCCCTGTGCTAAAGCCCGGGCTTATATACTGAGCTAACAAACCAACAGGAACAGGTGCAAGTGATCAGAAGTCAGGCAGAATGGGGATAGATGCAAACGGTAGAGTCCTGAGTCAGGTCAGGGAGCGAGGGGTTCTGGGAATTGCAGTCCGAAGCGACAAGGTCCGCTGTAGTTCCAGCCGAGCTGGAGGCAAGCGTTACAGTATCCCCCATCAAGGAGTCTGGGATGGCCGAGGGCCGAGGCCGCCCGCAACAACCACCACCTAGCCAACCGGAGGCACTAGTAGGCAAGTCCCCCGGAGCTGTCCTGGTGTTGGACAGGAGAGTGACTACGAGACCAGACACTGGGCCTAGCTGGACAGGAGCTGGACACTGCCTTCCAAGGGCATCCCCTGGGACATGGGGCTGGCTTCTCTGGATGCCGAGCATGAAACTCAGACTCCAACCCAGAGTCTAGAACATCCTTTTCTGGCACCCAGCATCTTTCTTCTGGTCCATGCTCCTTTCAGTTTATGAGATACTGGATGGTACACTCGATACTACAGCGTGTTTGTTCCCAGACCTCCTTGCTACACTTCATCCACTCGTCGACAGCAGGAATGTCAGCAGGTGTAGCGGTCCAGGGCGCGAATGGGGGCTGGTAACCTAGAACCTAGAAAGTAAGCTTGCAGGAATTTTCTGAGCTCTTGATTAACCCGCTCACATTATCCATTATACCCGATAACCAGATGGGCTTATGTTAATGCCTATGTGTTCACATAATCCAGCCCACACTCATGATGTGAATTGAGAACCTTTATCTGACACCATATCCTCTGGAATACCAAAGTTGTGAAAAATGTGTGTATAAAGAGCTAGGGCTGTGTCAAAAGCACTTGGCAGGGACTTAAAAGGAAGAAATAACACTCTTCTAGAGAAGCGGTCAACAATTGTCATGATGGTAGTATAACCGTTAGATGGAGTCAAGTCAGTAACAAAATATATTGCTATATGGGACCATGGACACTCACTTTCTATTGAGGTGGATCTAACGTTAATGACAGAGAAAGTGAGTGTCCCAAAAGTGAGTGTCCCAAAAGCTTACCCTGATTAGTCAGGACCTTCTGGAACACCTCAAGGTCTGCCATCTGCATGGTGGCGAGGTATACTTTAATGTTTGCAGATGAAGCTAGACACGTGTAGTCGAGGATAGTTTGAGAGGTTTTATTGGCAAAGGAGCGATCCGAAATCAATGTCAAAAACCGAAAGAGAAAGTCCCAAAACCGGTGAGTCGTAACAGGGCAAAAGGGCAAGGCAAAAAACCAAGTCAAAAAATGAAGCACAGGTCAAACATAATAAGGCAACAACAAACAAGAGAAGGCTCAGTATGCACAACAAACTCCCTGTGCTAAAGCCTGGGTTTATATACTGAGCTAACAAACCAAATAACAAGGAACTGGTGCAAGTGATCAGAAGTCAGGAGAGGCAGAACAGGGAGTCACGTGAGGGAGCGAGGGGTTCTGAGAAATGCAGTTGGAAGCGGCAAGGTCGTCTGTAGTTCCAACCGAGCCGGAAGCAGGCGTGACACATAATATCTCTGCATGCAAATCAAATTTCTGCTCTACATCTGTTTTACAGTAAAATGCTCTGTATTATATTGGTAATATAATAATATTCCATATCTGTAATTGGAGAGCAGGGCATAAAGTAAAAGTAGGTAAAATGTAACATGCATATTTAATATAATTACACATGCTTTTGATTATCTTCCCGCATTCACATAGCAACCTCATCTGTGAATTCTGACAGCAGTCAGTCAGATGTTTCTCCAGATTCACTTTTTCCATCCTGACTGTTTTGTGTTTGTAACATTGGCAGATGAAACCGGACGTTCGCAGCAGAGGTTTGAATTAAGAACTTTAATGTCAATAGGGGTATCCAGACACAATCCATGAACCACAGCAGAACGTCAGTAACCAGTAAACCAAAACAGAACAAAGGGACAAGGCTAGAAACGAGGTCATGAACAGAAAACGGGTCAGAAACACAGAGGAAACGCTTGGTACGCACATGAGAGTGACGATACTTTGCAAGGACATTAAGCTAAAGCCTGGGCTTAAATATTAAACTAACAAACAGGTGAAACAAAGAACAGATGTGAATGACCAATAGTCTGGAGGAGCTGAGCAATGATAGGTGGATTGGGTAGAGTCCTGAGTCACATGATGGAGCGAGGAGTTCTGGGAACTGTAGTCTGAGGTGGCCAACTTGGCTGTAGTCTCAGCCGGGCCAGAAATAGGCATGACAGTGATTAGTGAACTGTACAGAATTGACTCCTATATTATTTTAATCTCCTCTTGGTGTGTGTAACATAGCAGCGTATAGAAGAAGATAGATAGATAGATAGATAGATAGATAGATAGATAGATAGAAATGGAAATGCAATAACAGCTCACAGTGAGAGCTAGACAGGCTGAAGTAGAGCTTCCACACGAGGGGGTTAGTTTAACTCACTGATACAGCCAAGACCCCCAAAGTAAACAATCAGAGCTACATTTATATTCACTACAGGGAGTTTTTAATATCATACTTACAGTAATTCACAAAAATGTTCTGTAGATGTCTTGTAGATTAATTTTTTATTTTTTTTTATGGTTCTACTTTGTGGTCTAAAATATGTTTGTCAGTATTTAAAGCCTTTTTTCAATAATCACATTTGTTTTGATGCAGATATTTTAAGTATTTAGTTGGAAATCAGTAACATTTGCACTCACTCTGCTTCCAGTTGAATGTTTCATAAACTGTAGATTCTGGAAATGAAAGTTTGTTTTCATTTGTAGCAGAGATGTGTAGGTTGATTGTATAAAAATGAAAAATTAATTTTGCTCAAATACTTTTAGCCAAGGTTAGTTGCCCAGAAATAATTGTTATAAAATAATATATAAATAACTGTAATAAGTTTCTGCACAGAGAACAAAAATAGTGCTAATATATGTAATTATAAATACTGAGTAACAGTAATGATGCTGAGTTTGATGTAACTGTAACCTGCTGTGTGTTCTCTGCTGTGTGTTCTCTCAGTGGTGTGTTCTCAGATGGTGTGTTCTCCTACAGCATTGAGCCACTCATCAATGACACTGAACAGGTAATGTATTACTGATCAATAGTCTTAGTTAAACGAACAGTGATATCTGAGACTGAGTTAAAGAAACAAAGAGCTTCTGACAATTATCCTATGATTACTGATTTTATTATTAAATATTATTCTATATAACTAATAGTTATAATACTATATAACTAATTAAAATTGGTTTGTGGTTACTTATTACATTATTACGTTATAGTTATTAGAGTCAGTGTTGGGTTTAGACTCGTCTGTTTCTCAGTTCAGTGACGCTCACCTGGTGAAGAAGATTCCAGATATTAAACTGACAAGTTCCTGTTCAGGTACTGCTCTATGATCATCACACACACACACACACACACACAGACATTCTGAGAACCAACCAATCAGATTGTTGATATGTGGAGAGGTAATTGATGGTGTCACGCTAACAGACAAGTGGTGAGATTTAACACTGAAACACACAGAGCGGGAGACGTAACGCTTAATAAAACATTATTTTAAGCCTAACCCTAGATGTTTATTTTTAAATTTAAAAATGATCCCAGGCTACTTTGGGGCTCAGAACTGCACAGACTTTCTCTCTTTGAAACTCAACCTGTGTGTGTTTGAGTGACTGTTCCTCTCTCACCCCGCAGCCAGTCTTTGGCTCACAGTCATGAACATGTGGTGTTAAATAGAGCAGCTACTGCAGATTTTTAAAACATGAAAATAAAACTCAACAACCACACATCTGTTTGTACTAGACACAAATACTGTAAACATCAGAACATTTGATTATTATTAGCTGTGGAGAGGAAACTGAACAGAAGTGTGAATATACATAAACATGCAGACAAGAATTTCTGTGCATATAAAGGTCCAATAACATAGGCTATAAAAACTATTATAAACAGAATATTACAGAAAGATATAAATATATATAATTATTGGCCCATTCAGAGGAGTTACTGTAATACGGAGAGGAGGTCTGATCAGTTACTGTAATACGGAGAGGAGGTCTGATCAGTTACTGTAATACGGAGAGGAGGTCTGATCAGTTACTGTAGAGTAAATAATCGTTCTGTTCGGAGGAGTTACTGTAATACAGAGAGGAGGTCTGATCAGTTACTGTAGAGTAAATGATCGTTCTGAGGAGTTACTGTAATACGGAGAGGAGGTCTGATCAGGTACTGTAATACGGAGAGGAGGTCTGATCAGTTACTGTAATACGGAGAGGAGGTCTGATCAGTTACTGTAGAGTAAACGATCGTTCTGTCAGAGGAGTTACTGTAATACAGAGAGGAGGTCTGATCAGGTACTGTAATACGGAGAGGAGGTCTGATCAGTTACTGTAATACGGAGAGGAGGTCTGATCAGTTACTGTAGAGTAAACGATCGTTCTGTCAGAGGAGTTACTGTAATACAGAGAGGAGGTCTGATCAGGTACTGTAATACGGAGAGGAGGTCTGATCAGTTACTGTAATACGGAGAGGAGGTCTGATCAGTTACTGTAGAATAAATAATCGTTCTGTTCAGAGGAGTTACTGTAATACAGAGAGGAGGTCTGATCAGTTACTGTAATACGGAGAGGAGGTCTGATCAGTTACTGTAATACGGAGAGGAGGTCTGATCAGTTACTGTAACACGGAGAGGAGGTCTGATCAGTTACTGTAACACGGAGAGGAGGTCTGATCAGTTACTGTAGAGTAAATAATCGTTCTGTTCAGAGGAGTTACTGTAATACGGAGAGGAGGTCTGATCAGTTACTGTAATACGGAGAGGAGGTCTGATCAGTTACTGTAATACGGCGAGGAGGTTTGATGGTCAGTTCAAAGTGTGAGTGTCCACTGTTGTTAATGAGCTACAGCTCTCGGGAAAGCTGTTGGCATATCTGACTGTGCTGGTTTTGATGGTTCTAATGTGCTGGTTTCATGCAGTTCACCTGTCTGGACACATCTGCATCTATTAATATGTTTTTTTACTGGTTTACTTGGATTTTTCCGTTAATTTTTTACACATACTGAGGTTTGTGTTTTAGATTGTTCGCTGAATGAAGACGACTCTGTGGAGGAGCTGCTGTCCAAACCTGAACATTCAGAGGGACTAAAACGCACCAAACGACGAGTAAGAAGTTATTTAGTTTGACAGTACGCTGTGTAATGGGCTGTGGGGGGTGGCATCTCAGCTGAACAGTGGCACACAGCTCCTCTCACTCCATCAGGTGTGAATCAAGCAGTAAGAGAGCTGGTAGGATGTGAAAACATTGTCTCAGCATTGAAGATGAGCAAGAAAGTGGTGGTTGTTGGTTAGTAAAAGGCGCTGACCATCATCATTGGCAAAATAGCCACTGATATTAAGATGAGATCTGTTATACTGTAAAAATCTGGCCCTCAGGATGTTTTCTTTTTTCGCTGCAGGTGCTCATCGTTTTGAAATGAATCTGCTCTGGTTATTTCATTCAGAGTGTTGTATGTTGTATGCGTGTACAGGGAGTGTGCAGTGCTTTGAATGTAGGGATATTGGTCATAAGAGGCTGATGTTCCTGTGCAGGCAGCAGTGGAGTGAGGACGCAGGGCCTAATACTCGCGGAAAAAGATAACGTACTAGCAGTAGAGTGGATAGGCAGGTGCCAGTGAGTCAAAGCTGATGATGCTACGAGAGTGTGCACTGCTGAAGTGCCTGCCACTGATGAGAGTGTTTTGATCTCTAGTAATGAAGTTAAAGCGAGTAGCACAGAAACTGTTGGTCAGGTTGGGTTTCGTGTTCATTCTCTAGCAGCACAAACAGGAGTGCAGAACAGTAGAGATAATGTGTGGATGTGGAATCCACTTTTTTAACCCCAGAGAAGATTTGAGGATTGTTTTAAGTTGGCCAGCACTGAACTGGGTCTCTGCCTATGAGTGAGGGAGGTCAGGGTCAGGGTCTTTCAGAATGTAAACAGCCTGGTTTACTACCACAGGTGGGGCACCTAAGCTAGGAGAGGCACCTGTTTGTGTCACAGCTGAAGGAGATGGACTTGTAGGAGGCCACTGTGTTCTATCAGTCCGTATTGGGGGATGGTCAAGGTGCTTAAGGCTATCAGTCTCTCACCATATGGAAAAAATATATGGGCATCTATTTAATATATTTGGAATACATTTCAAACACTGCAGCCGATGCTGAAATACATTCCAAACACTAAAATGTATTTCAGAATATTTTGCCAAATTAACCATATATATTTTAAAATTCATTATTTTAAATGTATGGGGAAATATTACACATAGAAATGTACCCTAACCAAAAAAGTCTATGTAGGTCTTTATCAAATGCATCTGAAAATGTATGAAAATATCCAAAATCCTGTCTAATGTACTTCACTGTCCGATACCTTCAGAAATGAATTTGTTTTCCAGTATCTTCATTTTAAATATGACCAAATGAACCTTTAACATGACAGAATGTTGTAGGTATTGATACTCATTGATACTATTGATGCAGTTATGATTTGATATCTTGTTTATGCAGAACCCAGAAGTCAGTACTGTTCATTCAGTTCATGCATATTTAGTTACATCAGTAACCTTTGTTAACACTACACCCAATTGAACAAATAAACACATTTAAAAATATAATTCACAAATATAATCTTGGCCATTTTCATATATTGCAAAAATATGGTTCATAAAAATATTTAAAATATATATTTTTCCATATTTGTCTGTTGAGGAGGAGCCACTGTTTTTTAACCTCTTGGTTCAGATCACTGTGCTGAAGACTTAGTTTGTGCTTTTAAAAGGCAGATCTCACAAAACTTGGACGTCTAAGAGCTCGGGGTTAGGGTTAGGGTTAGTTTTTGTCAAGTGATGTCTGGCCAACTGCTGCAGGGGGTCCTGGGGAGGTGATGTCAGCACTGCCTGCCTCCTTTGGACAGGACCTGAGCCCAAAAATACACTATATGGACAAAAGTATTGGGACACGTTCACATCACACCTACAGGAGCTTTTATGAATCAAATTCTAAATCCATAGGAATTAATATGGAGTTGATCCCCTTTGCAGCTCTAACAGCTCTTTATTGAGTGATTCAACAGAGGTATCACTAAAGGTTGTGTGTGTATGTGAGCTTTAAAGAGTGTGCAGACTAATGTGCTGATAAAGTGTCATTTAAAAGTCAATTCTTCTCTCTCTCTCTCTCTCTCTCTCTCTCTCTCTCTCTTTCTTTCTCTCTCTCTCTATCTTTCTGTCTCTCTCTTCCTCTCTCTCTCACACTCTCTCTCTCTTGCTCTCTTGATCTCTCCCTCTCCCTCTCTCTCTCTCTCTCTCTCTCTCTCTCTCTCTCTCTCTCTTGCTCTCTCTCTCTCGCTCTCTTGCTCTCTCTCTTGCTCTCTCTCTCGCTCTCTTCCTCTCCCTCTCTCTCCCTCTCTCTCTGTGTAGGTGTCCAGGCCAAGAGTTCACACTGAAACAAAATATATTGAGCTGATGGTCATCAATGACTTCGAAATGGTCAGATATCAGTTTTGAGTGTGTGTGTGTGTATGTGTGTGTGTGTGTGTGGATGTATTGATTGTAGACAGAATGCTAAAAATAGAGGAATTATCTGAAAGGTTAGTTTTATTGAAATTGAGTTCATTTTTTCAAAAAAACCTGAAACAGTGAAATATTTTTTGTGCTTTAAAATAAAAAAAAAAAACTGACCAGACAATCATGAACAAACACAAACGTTTGGTTGTGTTTGTTTAAAGATTGTAAAATCTTCCCTGCTCCTTCCGCTCTGGTTTATTTTGCACATCATTTTTTTCTTGACATTCTAATGAGAACTATGGACATTAAAAGAGTCACTGCTCATCCCTGCAGTCAGAAATCTTCCTCACAGATAAGCTGTGTGTGTGTGTGTGTGTGTGTGTGTGTGTGGGTAGTTTGTACAGTTGCGGCGCTCGACCACTCAGGTGAGGAACTTTGCCAAAGCAGTGGTGAACATGGCGGACGCGGTGAGATATTCTGATCTTTGATTAAGAGTCTAAGTTTGATTTAAAACGCTCATTAAAACTTTATTTTAATGTAATCTGTTCATCCTTCTCTGCACTGTTGCTATGGTGCCCAGATCTACAAGGAACAGCTCAACACCCGCATTGTGCTGGTTGCCATGGAGACCTGGTCATCAAGGAATCCGGTTTCTGTGGTTTCCAACCCCCTGACGACACTGCAGAACTTTATGCAATACCGCAGGGAGAACCTACAGGAGAACGCTGATTCAGTCCAGCTTCTATCGTGAGTTAAACACACACACATACACACACACACACAGACACACACACAGACACACACACACACACACTACAATACATACACACTGTTTTGACCGGTGCCATCGGCGGAGAGGGGCTGGTCCATTTCTGGGTTTGTAGGCATCTGATGCAGCTTCAGGAAAACAGTAAGGGGACCGGCAGTGCAGTATCCTGAGTGAACTGAGGAAGACTGAAGACGAGGCCGTGCTGCTGCGTTCCG